TCCTACACGATTCCTTGTAATTACTCCATTGAAAGACAAAGTAACCAGGTTAGCTACTTCCTACTGTACCTATGCATTCAGTTGCTCTTGTTCAGCCGTTTAAATTGACCATACATACCCTCCTGACTAAATAAAGGTGTAATTTTCAAGAATTAGCTCGTAGGGATTCTGTTTGTATCAGGTTAGACCACGGATTGGTATCAGCTAGAGAACCATTAGAAAGCCGACATAGGAGTACTGGACGGCCGTCTCGTCATATTTTCGGACTCATCCGTGGTACGCACCCAGTGGGTTTCAAACCCAAGACCCTCCGACTACAAGGCAAGCTTGTAGACGATTCAGCCACTCGTACCTGACTCGGTGGCCAGACCATGAATCCTAGCTTCTACCAATCTGATGCGTGCTAGTGACTCGTTACAAGACTAATTTGCCTAGAGTTCTAGTGAGAAGTCATGACCAGTGAGATCTATCCATTCTGAAGTGAAGATGAAGTTCCAGCCGATGACACTGGTTGGTGGTCGCGCTAAATGCACTACGAATTGGTGGAAGTTAGAATTCATGGACTAGCCGTTAAATCCCATCCCAGTGGCTCAATGGTATACAAGGTTTTCTTTGTAAGGCCCTGAGTTCGAAACCCCGTGGATGCGTTCTACCGATGAGTCTCAAACTAGAAAGAAACCGCTGTCCGGTACTTCCTGCTGGTTTTCATTGGTTCCTTAACTGATATCAATCCGTGGTCTAACCTGGCAGGCAAAATTACATACACTTCTGTATTAGATCATCTCCTCCGAATATGTCACAAAGCTAGTACTGAAGATTCTTTCCCTACTATGCATCGGCTATCGAATAAATTACCCATGGCCTCTAGATACCGAACACTTCAAACAGTAGAGGTTACGGAAACTCGCTTAAAACCGCTGGGGCTCAAAGTAAAAAGAAAGAAAGAGATCAAGTGACTACTGCTAACCTGATCTCCTGTGAATCTTGTAAATTATTAAACTGTATTATTTCTCTTATACACAAAAGGAATTGCATACAAACGCCATTCAAGAGAGCAAGGACTCATTTCAGCACTACCACCTTAAGGAAAATTGAAGAAAATTATCTCATGGACGTCTTCCAAAAGAATGGATATCCACGGAATTTCATCAAAAAACATATACCTCCAAGCCAACCTACCAAAGCAAAAGCCACCAAGGAGAACACAAAGAAAATCGCCTTACCATACATAAAGGATATCTCAGAAATCACTACAAGACTCTTCAAACCTTTAGGAACTGACGTCGTACACAAACCAACAAAGTCGTTGCACTCAATTCTATGTCAACCAAAAGACTCACCAGCGAAAGAAGATAAAACCAACATCATCTACAAAATAAACTGTAACAATTGTGAAAAACACTTTATCGGCCGAAGTGGACGTCCCCTTCGTCTTCGTATCGACGAAAATAAGCTAGCCGTCAAAAGACATGATATCCACTCCCTCATATCACTACATACAGACAACCACGGACATTAATTCGACTGGGACAACGTTCAAATATTAGACAGAGGAAACAACAAGAATGCTAGAGAATTTTTAGAAGCTTGGCATTCCAGTGAATCATCAATCAATAGACACATCGAGATAGACAAAATTTATCAACCAATAAGAAAGAAACTTCACACACAAAGGGTCAAAGTTCAAATCAAAGAAACAGTCAGTTCCAATACAAGTAACCTAGAAGATGTGAAAACACACACAAACAACCAATCACGTCCAAGGTCACCAGGAGAGATGATTAATAAACTCGTGGAGAAATCTAAAGGCTCACTTCAAATTGAAGTATGCGCTGAAGATGTCACTCAGTAGGGTGATGAAAGCTTCGCAAATTAACCATCCAGCTCAGAGAACAAAACCACATCGAAATTCTCTTATATCATTTGATATTCACTTTAGTGTTTTTTGATTACAGCTTGATTCCACACCGTAATTTTTGTACAAGTATGGAATCTTCAGCATATGATATCAATAGCGCAAATTTTGCAGGCCGACCATAATTTTTTATCAGTTGTGCGTCGGCAGGGAATTGAACCTCTGACCATGTGCATGATCGGCGAGAGTCTCAACCACTGTGCCATCAACGCGCATTCACACAGTGATACACCCATTGACTGGGTATTGGCTTTCAGGAGAACCAAACACACCCATCCCTGTCTCTTGCGAGACGAGACCGTCATGCAGGATCATCCTGTGGCGCAACCACTCGAGAGCCCTCTCCCTCGGTGGATGGGTATGTATTTGCAGAAGCTGATGAAGAAATAGGCTTTATCGAAAAGAGAAGTTCTTTGTTCACATCAGCCTCAATCTGTTGACATTTTTCCAATGGCATCTTCAATCAACTCAAATTAAAAAAAACACTCAAAAACCAGTTTTTATATCCATCAAGTATTTCGTTTCTCTTTTCCTTCTTCTTACATGACTTACCTCTCTCAGACGAAATCAACTTCGTCAAATATGCAGATGACCTGACTGTTTCGCTTCCCATTAAGTCTCAGTCAGACTGCTTCAAATTAAATAGCTTCCTGTCGGACATCAGTCAGTGGTCTAAACTAAATGGCCTCATGCTGAATCCCTCAGAATGCCAGACTATTGACTTCTCCTTTAGGCATAAACGAGATCTACAAACACTAGTAAGCACTCATGATGCCTGTAGCATTGAGGGGACTATAATTGAAACAAAGTCTAATGCAAAATACCTCGGATTAGTTATATCTTCCGACCTTACCTGGTCATCTCATATCCAAATGATTTCCAAGAAAGTGTTTCGTCTAACCTACTACATTAAGAAACTCAGACTAACTGGAGTCCGTCAACCTCTGCTTTCACAATTTGTCAACTCTCGTATCCTACCTATTCTACTTTACTGCTCCCCATCAGTCTTTCCTGGGCTACTGAAAAAGGACTATACCATCCTGAGAAGGATGTTGAAGGTAGTTAGTAGGACTAGCGGTGTAAAACTCAGTCAGCTCGTCACAACATTAGCGGATAAGTATCTGAATACATGCGAGAAATGGACTAAAACCATACTCTCTGACCCCCAACATCCCCTCTATACCCAACTCTCTCCTTGCATCTCATCAGGTAGAACCAGAAATCAGTACAAAATAATATATGCTCGTACAACCAAGTATAGGAACTCAACGATACCATATTTGGCCAGCCCGTGTTCTAAGTGACAGAGACAATGTTAGGCGTGAAACTTATGACTTGCTTTGTTGTTAATAACATAATTTTGGCCCTTGTTATTTCCCCCTTATACTCTCTTATTTGTACTCTATAGCGAACAACCTTCTTATACATACTTAGCTACTAAATATTATTATCATCGGCTTACTTTTTTTGTACTTTACTCTATTCCTTCTTTTATTTATATACTGGTCCCGACTATACTATCACTATGAGTATTACAAAATTGTCCTGTCAATAACCATCATGTAATATTAGTTATGTGGTTGTTCTTTGTTCGGCACTATTAAACTGACAATCTTGTTTGTGAACGCCACTATCACCATCCTAAAAATGTTGTATTATGCATGACTACTCACACTACCACAACTAACACTGCATTAGTGCTGACAATAAAAAAAAACACAACCTGAAATGTTTATTTTATGATTGTTCAGTGTTGTTCAATCAAATTAACCGATCATCTTGGCTATAAACATTTTTTAAGAACATCTCATAATTTCCCGTATGATTATAGCTGTTACTGTTCACCACGAATACACATATCGTAGCTTCCACTAACCAATACTGAAATATTGTTTTCATTATTGGTGTTTATCTTCTTTTCTACTTGGTATTTTTATTTGCATTTTTTGTTATTTTTGTGTTTCTTTTTTGGTTTTTTGTTGTGTTTTTTTATATATTTTATTTTTTTGTAATACTCCTTTTAAATGTACGATGAAATTAGATGCAATATTGTAGATATGTGCTGAAAATTCCACACTGTACCACAAATACTGTTTCTGGAATAAAAGCGAAATTGTTATGTTATGTCAAACAACGCCACACACACACACACACACCTGTTAGTGGGGGAGAGAGAAGGCGGGAATAAGTTGAACTGACGAGAAGAAACTCTGGAAGATATGGACTTCGCCGATAATTTATGTCAAATTCCAAAGACCTACAGGCGAAAACCTAACCAACTGGCTGAAGAGGCTGTTTGACAGCAAAGACAGGACTCCAGATGAGCATAGAAAAGACGAAGGTGATAGAGATAACCAATGGAAAGTCACAACAATCAGTACCAATCATTATCAACGGGAGAGATTTAACGCAGGTTACTTCCTTCACTTATTTAGGAAGCATTCTATCAACTATAGGCGACACGAATGAATATGTCGAAACCAGACAAGAGTCGAAAGGCACGATAGAGATGTTCATCATTCTAAAATCAGCTTGGAAATCTACAGCACTCAGCATAAAGAACAGGATTCGAATTTTCAACACCGATATTAAGTCAACCAGTTCTTCCATGTGGGTTAACCAGCTGCGGACTTTCATCAACGGCTTTCTTCACTCCATACTGTAGATCAGATGATTAGAAAGAATTAGTAACAAGAAGGGACTCTGGAAATGAGTCAATCGAGAACCTAATGCCCAAACAATATCCTGATGAAAACGGAGACGGATTGGGGGGTGGGGTGGGCAGACGCTGAGGTTATCGTAGGATGACATCACGCTCCAGGCTCCTGAATAGGACCAGACTAGGGAGTGATGAGTTGGGCGTAAGTCCGAGTATCACATAGAGGAGATCGTGTGAGGTGGAGGTGAAAGCTTATAGGTAATCGTGGAGCCATCTGAAGACGACTGCAGAAAACAGGACAAAATGGAAATGTACTGTTGAAGCAATATGTTCTACTTGGAACCCAAAGGAATAGCGACAATAATAATAATAACAAACACCCGTTATGAAAACTAAAAAAAACAAAATAATGAAAATCAAACTAACCACATTCACGTCTTTCTCTAATTTTGCTATAAGATTTGCTTGTGCTTTTATTTGTGCTTGTAGTCTGAGGATTCTTTGTTGAAAATGTTCATCACTTAACACTGCACCTCCGTTGGATGAATATGAAGACTGAAGAGGTGGAGATTTGCAAATTCCGCTTAACTCCAATTCAGTAATTTGTGTAGTTACAGGCTAAAGGTTTAAATGTGCAAATACAAAGAGGAAAGCATAAGCACATATATGCAAGTGAAACAAAAAAATTTGCTGTTAAAATAATCAAGTGATATCTGTTAGAGAATCACTGGAAACTAGAACAGAATACTCATCATCTGTTTTGTCCCCACTTGGGACTCTTCATGACGGTAGCATATCCATTACTTCATAACCAGTGATAAAGTTCTGGCTAACTGGTGGTATATACACTGCCGATGCTAATCAATGTATTCGTTCTCATATCCAGTCTAGTGGACTCCACTGGTCAGAACTATTTGCCAGAACTCCAGGCAACTCTATTCTGTGGCCAGCAGTTAGTGAGCAATAGATAAATGTTCAAGCTTTAGTCTTCAGGGTTATAGACAACTCAAGAGCTAGAATTAGTGATACGACTAAAAACCACTAAAATAGAGGAAGAAGAAATACTAGTCAGCTTTGATGCAAACAGTCTCTATACTAAAATATTCATTCATCAAAAATGGCCATAAATGCACTGAAAACGTGACTAAAAGAAGATGATGGCCTAAAAGACAGGACACCGTTATCAGTAGAAGTGATAATGAAAACGGGTTGAATTCTGTCTGACAACAACATATTTACCTTGGAAGGAAAAATATACGAAAAAATTAAAGCAGGAATAGCCATGAGACTGCCCATCTCACCAATAATAGCTGACATATTTATGGATTTTTAGGAAGAGAATGCACTTAAACCAGCATTCAGGTCATCAATAAAATGTTGGTGGAGATGTGTAGACGACAGGTTAGTAATAACGAAGAAAAAACGATGTTGAGAAATTCTTCTCATACATGAACAGTCATATCGACTCCATAAAATTCACTATGGAAATAGAGAAAGTAATTGGGGAACTCCTTATGTTAGACTGCAAAATACGAAGAGTAACAGATGGTAGCATGAAAACGATGCTACATAGAAAAACTACACACTCTGGAGGATCCCTTGATTATCAATCAGCTCATCTACTCACGATAAAACAAGGATTAATACAGGGTCTTGCAGATAGAATACGCAGACTTATAACAACACCAGATGACCAGCGTAAGGAAATTAACGTCTTATTCAAAATGTTACTTGACAACAACTACCCAAAAGAATTCATCAAAAATAACATAAAAAAGCGAAAAAAGAGGGTAAAACCGGAGAATAACAAGATGGAAGAATGGAAAAAGACAGTCGCAATACCATACATAACTGGTACCCTAGAGGCAATTACAAGAAACCTCAAAAATATTGCGAATCGTACCACGTGTAAACCGACGAATCTAATCAAAAATGAAATAAATTCACTGAAAGATCCCATAAAAATGATGGATAAAAATATTGTGATTTACAAAACACCTTGTGCCGAGTGTCCGACTAAATATGCAGGTCAAACTTCTAGATTACTCAAAATAGGAGTTAGTGAACATAAACGCCTGACTAAAGGTCAACCCCAACAGGAACACAAGTTTACAAAAATTTAGAAAAAAAAAATTCATCTGCAGCTGCACATGCATGGGTCAAAAACCACAATATCGACTGGAGCGATGTTTGTATTCTAAAAGCTAATATGAACAAATCGAAAGAGAGACTATTAATAACAGAATCTATAATCGCTAAGGTCACACTGGATACATGTAACAAGGGTGACACAGTAACACAACTGTCGACAACCTGGAATATAATTCTGAGTAGTTCTGAATACACAAAAATGAATGAATAAAGAGAGGAATGTTTATTTGAGTACATATCATAAATGTGTAAATTAAAAACAAAACAATTTCAAAGGTTGGAGTAATCACCGGAAGTAATCTTTCTTGAAATATTACCAAACCACAAAAACTTGTCATTGTGTGTCAACCATTGAAATATAATTATACCTTGTAACTAATCCCCACCAGATTCTTTTAATCCGTACTGCTGAAGAATCCGTCCCAAACTAGATTAAAGTAACTCTTTCAGTACTTTCTGATTTTCAGTGTTCTTTAACTTATGTCATTTTGTAATCTAACTTTAGAATTAACCGAAATCAAGCTATATATCAGTATGAACAAGGAAAACTTATGGTTTGGGACTCTCAAGAAATACGCAACCACCTGGGTTTGTACTCAGGACCTTCCGATTACAGAGTTCGTAGATCATTCAGCCGTCGGGAAATGAACCAATGGCTAACCCATGAATTCCAACTTTTTCAAATTTGTGATATACACAGCACAACCGTCATTCAGTGTCACAGGCGAGTGAAAGCCCTCTTACCTGACTTGGTCGACCGTGCTGCTTCCCATATCACACTAGATCTCTAGGTAGCTTCCTGAATAGTGATAACTGTTAGTGAGTATGAAATTAATTATCGTACATTGGTTTGCAGGAATTTGTTTGTTTCAAACTTGATCACGGATTAATATAGGTTGGAGAATCATTGAAAACTAGGGAGTACTCTACTTCTGTCTCGTCCTAGTTAGGGACTCTTCATCAGTACACGTCCGCTAGGATTCATACTCAGGACCTTGTAGGCACAAGGCAAAACTGTTGATCATTCAACCACTGTGAACCTCTCCTGGGTAAGAACTTTTTTCGGATTTTTCTTGTTGAAGAGTCCCAAACTGGGACGAAACAACTTTCAAGTACTCTCTGTAGGTTTTCCAGCCAATCAAATAGGTGACAACTGATAGTTGATAGTTAATCCTATGTTCGTCAGCGACTGGTTATATATATAAGAAGCCACCTAGAGTTCCAGTGAGAAGTCGTAGCCGGTGGGTTCCGTCAAGGCATGTAGGAGGTCAGTTACTCTCTGACGACACTGATTGACGACCACACTATATATTGTGAATTGGCAGGGGGTGGAATTCATGGACTGGCCACTGGATCAAGTTGCAGTAGCTGAATGGTCTACAATCTCACCCTGTGACTGGAAGGTTCTAGGTTTAAACCTAACTGGTGGGTCAGTACTGCTGAACAGTTCTCATCTGGGACCAGAAAGCTCTCCAGTGTCCTTCCCCTCTTTGATATCAGCTTGTGTCCGAACCTGTGACCAATCAAATCTCAACAAAATTAACCCTTGAAGGAGAAACGTCTCCCTGAAATGTAGACAAACATTGCTGAAGTAGACAACATCAGGTATGTTTAGGTCAAATGTACACTAGTTCTAAATATTCTTTCATTGTCCTAAGAATAGAAAATACATTTTAACTAATTATTAAAGTATGTATGTATGTATGTTTGTATGTAGACGAATACATTACCACCTGTTACTTAATAGTTCGCATCAGCTGTTATGAATACATTTCATAATATTTATAATTTTTGAAAATTAACACTATACAACATAATCTTATGTATTACAAAGAACATCTCCCACTATGGCTAAGTAAAGGTGTAGTTAAAACCATTAACAGTTCGATATTGGACCATCTTGTGCAAACTGGCCACAAAGCCAGCACTGAACAATCCTTCTCTATCATCATCTACCGGCTGGCAAATAAATTGCCAAAAGCATCCAGGCAGTGTATGATCCAAACATCAGAGGTTATCACAACCAATGCTCTGTGTTCAAAAGAAGCAAGTCCAGCCCCTACTACTGCCCTGACTAGCCTTCAGTAGAGACTATAAATTCATGAATTTGTAATATTATCTTTCCTAATTTTTCTGACATTCAGCTTATTTTATGTTCATGCTACTGAGCTGTAATCTATCAGTATTATTGATTCAATGTTATTTAAACAGCATTAATGTTGTTCAAAGCACTAATGCGTCGGTGGCACAGTGGTTAGGACTCTCGCCGACCATACACATGGTCCGGGGTTCGGTCCCCTGCCGACGCACACCCGATATCTATGTTTGGCCTGCGAATTTTGGGCTACCGATATCCATGCTTAAAATTCCACACTTGTACCAAAAATACAGTGTGGAATCAAGCTGTAATAAAAAAAAACACTATAATGTGTATATAACTGTAGAGCCTGATGAAGAAGGTGTTGTCGAAAAGAGTACTCTTTGTTCAGTATCCACTCTTTCAAAAAATAAAGAATAGTGAGACAATCATATATTTCCCCATTTCATATAGTTTCAAACTTTTAAATATTTCGCAGCGACTAAGTACAAAATCCTTAATTATTTCTTCATCTCTCCTCTCACCACTTGCGGAACTGTCATCTGAATGTATCCAACATTTCAGACGTTTCCTTCATTGCCATTTAAACTTTGTACCCCTGATTTACTGAATAACCAGTGTCCACATGATATCTCGTGAGATAAAATAATCATGGAGTAAGCAGTGATGATATCAGAAGTCGCCGATCACGCATGTGATGCGGGGTTCGATCCCTGGCTGTCACACTCCTTCACTTCGCCTAACTGGCAGTAATCCCGGTAAGTAGGGAAGGCTAGGAGTGAGGCCAGTCATTGTGCACTAGAGAAACGACAAAGCTGCTACTGAAACTGTACAAGCTCAAGACTGAAACCGTCTGTTCCACTGGGGACGCAAATGGAAGTATTGCCTCAGTGTCTAAATCACTCACATGGTGATTTCAGTTTGATTCCCTGTCGACACACACACACACACACTGCTGGAGTCTGCCCAGTTTACTAGCTCAACGGAAAAAATAGAAGGTTGGAATGAAGCTAGGCACCCCAACCCCGGGAAAATAGAACAAAACAATCCTAACTGAAAGTTCAAAACTTGAAGCCCCACATCCTAGTTGGAAGGCAAAGAAATGTCAGAAGTGGAGTCTTTATGCATGTCAGATGAGAAGGGGAATCTGATCAGTAAACTGATAGGCAGATAGGAGACACAACTATATGATAATAGAAAGGATTTGTAGCTCAGTTGGATGATTTGCAACTAGTTGTGTTCTCTAAACTGGTTGATTTAGTTACGGAGCTTTCGTCGTCCACCTTTCTGGACAACATCCCCTTTCAGCGCAAGTTTTAGCATCAAATGAACTGATTTAAATTCTCCCTGAGTCATATAATTGCGTCTC